TTCACTCTCTCTCTCTCTCTCTCTCTCTCTCTCTCTCTCTCTCTCTCTCTCTCTCTCTCTCTCTCTCTTCTCTCTCTCCCTTTCTGTGCGCGCTCGTGTGTGCTGTGATTGTGTGTGGTGTGTTATTTACGCTAACGAAGACGTACTTTTATTGATAGTCAACTAGTTTACCCCCACCACGATTTTTCCATGTAAGGTACATTTCTGGTTCAACATCAATTTTCCAAACTGTTGTTGCGTCCATTTATACAAAATGAAACGCAACCCCCCCCAAAAAAAAAAAAATAAAAAAATAAACAACCCAACGCACAAATGAACAATCACTCCAGATTATCTAAATTGTTACGATTTCTACTCACGTATTTTACGGCGCTCTCAACTGCATAAGGTCATATGAGAGCGCAGGACACACCAAACATTTTCAGTTGGAAGGAAATTTTGATTTTTGCCGGGTGGCCGCGGAAGCCTACTCTTATCGATTTTTGGACCACCAAGGGATCTTTAACGTGCGCAACTTGCACACGGGACCTCCGAGGTTTTTCGCCCTTGTCCGAGAAGGCTAGGTGTAGATCTTTCCTACCAGAAGATCAGGGATGTGACTGAAAGACAGCAGTAAGAAGGAGCCAAGGCGAAGCAGTAGACAGGCTGCAGAAAGAATCAGGAGCCCAGAGGAAGGGGCGAAGGAGGTGAAGAGGTGGGGGAAGAAAGTTGAGACGAAAGCAGACCATAGAACTTTGCTAGAGAGCAGGAAAGGAGATGAAAGGAGACAATTTTAGAGAAGACTTTGAATGAGAGGCGAACACCTTAACCTCTAGGCCACGAGAGCCCCCTTATCTATCAAAAAATGCCTCCTTTTGTCACGATGATGAGATCTTTTCTGTTGGGTTTTTTTTTATGAACCTGCTTCTGCGTTGTTATTGTTGTTGTGTTGTTGTTTTTTTGCTGTTTTATTATTTTCTCTTTAATTTTATGATTATGCTAAAGAGAATTTTTTTCATTTAGTTATGCAAATTACATTTTTTTAAATTTTGTTACAATGAGAATGGTACTTTTTCCCGCTTTACAATTCTAATGAATATATTTTTTATAATTTCTCACAAAGCGACTTTGTTTTTTCTTTTAACAAAGTTAGTTCATGTTGCTTTCGTAATGAAATTGTTTTATTCCAACTTTTTTTCTCCAGATTCTCTCGTGTTCCCATGCACACACTGTCTTAATTTCTGTCAGAAGATTACATGTTGCACACTGACATTTCTACCGTTAACTTTTCAATCAATCTATCTGATGACGGAACTATTATACTGTGTTTGTGGGTGGTTGACGGATTCTCTGGTTCTAAGCTCCTTGGGTTTGCTCCTTCTTTCCTATCAAACATCTATCGTCCTGATCTCTCCTCCTTCTTGTTGTGTATGTTACTCTCTTGTAACACATGTATTCTTCGGCACTTGTATGGCGTTATTGTGTTGCAAGTGCCGTAAAACTTACTAAAACTAAACTGACCATTATTTGTGTCGCTGTGCTTTTCTTCACTCAAACAAACAAACAATCAAACGTGTGTTGCACACTGACATTTCAACTGTTAACTTTTCGATCTATCAATCAATCGATCGATCAATCAATCAGTGGGTGGTTAGCGAGTGCTCTGGTGTGGTTTGCTTCTTCTTTCCTATCAAACATCTATCGTCCTTATCTCCCCTTCTTCTTTTTTATGTTTGTTACTCTCTTGTAACACCTCTAATCTTCTGGCGCTCATATGACCTTATGCTGTTGCGAGCGCTGTAAAACCTCTACTAAAACTAAACTAAATCTATCTATCAACCAATTAATCATCTGATGGTATTATATTGTATTGTGTTTCTGTATCCTCCCTCAGCTATGCAATCCGGGTGAAACACGGCGTGTATGAATGGGTCATTCACCGGCGCTACAAACACTTTCGGCAGCTCCACGATTCCCTCACCTTCTTCCGGGCACGCTACAAGCTGCCGCTGCCCAACAAAGAGTAAGAATCTGTCGTGTAATAATGTACAATGTGTACTTTTTATGTTGTCGGCTCTGCTGCGGTTTACACCTTATTTCTTATCAAAATCTATCAGTGGGTGGTTGGCGGGTGCTCTGCTGTGGTTTGCTCCTTATTTCTTATCAAAATCTATCGTTCTTATCACTTTTCCTTCCTTTTGTGTGTTTTTAGTCTCTTGTAACACCTGCAATCTTTGGCATTTATGTGACCTACTTGTGTTGCAAGTGCCGTACAACACTTACTTAAACGAATAAATTACATTCGAACCTGTCTTAACGGCCACCTGTATAAGACAATCACCTCAATAAACAGCCACTTCCCCCTTCATCCCTTGCATATTTTCTTACATTATAATAACACTGTGTGGGTGGTTGGCGGATGCTCTATTGTGGTTAGCTCCTTATTTCCTATCAAGCATGTATCGTCCTGATCTCTCCTCCTTTTTACATTTTATGTTTGATAGTCTCTAGTAACACCTCTAATCTTCGGCACTTATATGACCTTATTGTGTTGCAAGTGGAGTAAAACTCTTACTAAAACAAAAACTAATGATACTGTGTTAGACAGTCACCAGCTCCTAATGACCACTTTCCTCCTCGACAGTGGGTGTCTGTCTTAAACAGTTTCGACTGCATTAAACATTAATTATTTCCATCTTTGCAGCTTGCACTGTGTGATTCCAAGGAAGTTGAGATTGTTTCAGGATGCTATCAGGTCTGCATGGGTAATAGAATAGATTGTAAGGTGCATAGAGTTTGCCGTTGAGCGGGAATTTACGCTATACAAATGCTATTTATTATTATCTTGATAGGTACCATGAGCGCCGGAGGACCATTATGAAAGATCTGAAGGGCATGAAGGAGAGACAGAGGCAGCAGAAGTCTGTCAGGCTTCCTAAACGGCCCGAATACCTGGTTGGGGAAGACAGGATCCCCAGTCGCATGGTCAGTTACTGTGCTCACTTGATTGTTGTTTGATTATTATTATTAGGACTGTTATTATTATCTTCTTCTTCTTCTTCTTCTTCTTCTTCTTCTTCTTCTTCTTCTTCTTCTTC